AATCCATGGAATTAAAACAAATTGCTAACTAATTTTTTGGATATTATGCAAACCTCTATCTTCTCCCTACACAAGAATTGAAAACTGCTTTTATATAATTTATGAACAGAAAAAAAAGCAAAATTTGCTGGATAAATTACTAGTGGCAAATTATTTGCTTCATTCCAATTTTAAGCAGTTGCTTCTCGTGAATTGTTCTCCCAGTCAAGCCTACCCCAAACAAACCAAATTTATGTGTAGATCTACATGCACTGGGAGGAAAAAAGAGGGATTCAACTAAAGTAATGTTTCAAATAATTTTAAGCGGCATTTGCCTGGCCAGTCTGTTCTTAAAGAATCTATATACTTTCCACCCAGCGTGTGATTCCATATCAAATTGCTTAAATTAAATATTTATGTAGGGTGTTTCAAGCAAAAGGCAGAAGATTGAAGTCTTTGATGGGAGTGTGCATTTTAAGGATGAAAAAATAATGTCCTGGGAAGCAGGTTCTGTAGTTTTCAAATCAGAATAGCTTATTATTGTTTGTGTAAATACTTGCCCCCCCCACCACCACCACCACCATACACACACATGCATTTCGGTTTAGGAATGTACACTTTGAGATGGGAATATCCATTAAACATTCATACTGGAAGGCAGTACAAATTTAGGCCATCTCATTTGTTAAGCCAAAAAATAAAGTGTCTTTTTTATAGGCTTAATTCTATTTGTCTCTTGTGGAAGTTTCAAACACTTATTTTTCTTGGAGCAGATTTTGAGCTGTATTGTTATAGATTCCATTTGACTTTAATGAAACTAGTATTTTACCCCTGGAGCAACTCTGTTGACATCAAGTAAGAATCTAGAATTTAGTCCTGTATTCCCATCTGTCTCAATCATCCTCTAGTTTTCTGTCTTTGTACTTGGAAAGAACTGTTCTTAAGCCCTGTGTAGTACTAGAATAAGCCTCTTTCCTTGTCCTCCATTTGTCCAATTACACCAGGACAGAGATGCTCAAACTGCATTGCACTTCTGACAAGTTACTACATGATTACAAGAACAGCAACCAAAGTCTGGACCAGCTTAAGCCTGGCTGCCCTGGATTGAGGGAGCAGAGCCAAAACCCAAGGGCTCAGCTCCAGATGAGGGGCCTCTAACCTGAGCCCTGCCAGGCATGGCTGAAGCCTGAAGGTTTAGGCTTTCGCTCTTTCCAGTATGTCTAATGAAAACCCCATTAAAAGCTGTATGTGGCTGTTCAGGCTGGGAGGAAGACAGAGGAGCGCAGACAGAGCACGAACCAGGTGATTCATGGTGCTCTGAATGCTCTATGAGGGTGAGGGAGGAATAGGAAGTGTGCTGCTGCAGTATCCCAGTGTATGAGAAGCACGTGTGAGAGGGAGGCAGATAGGGGATCCGCAGGACTGCAAGTGGAACCCCAGGAGGTTGGAGGCTGCTGCGGCCCACTAAGATGAAGGAAGGCCATTCATACAGCCATCTCACTGTTCTTGGTTGCTCATCACTGCTCTAAAGTGAGGGGTATGATTGCTCTGCTCTGCTCATGTGCTCTTACTTAATATTTTTCATAGTATGATTTAGAGTTCAGCTCCATAGTTAGTAATGGCACTATCATTTCAGAAATGCTTCCTGAAATTGTCTCATACTTCCCTTTAGTCTTGCAACCATTTTTCCCTGTTCTTGCAACATGAAAATCACCAGAATTTTATCCACCACTACTGCTTTAGGCCTGATAAAATGGGCATAGCATTGCAGAACAGAAGAAAAAAGGAATGTTGCATTCTACAATTTTTAACAGAAATGGCCATAAGGAAAAAAGTTAAATATTAATGAAAATGTTTATTTCCCATAGGTCTGGCCAGCAGAGAATGCTGAAAGAGATAACTCAACCAACCCAGGGAACATACTGACTGAAACACAGATTATCACAGAAATGGAAAACAAAGGCAGCTGGCATTAATAATTAATTGAAGAGGGTTCCCTGTGGAGGTTTAGATGAGCTGCAGTTATGTTTTATTTCAGGGAAGCATATATTAACATGTACACTTCAGATTAAATATACCCAGCCTAAGCTACCTGAAAGAAAGAACAATCCCAAATTGGGAATCTTTATTTGTTGAGTGCTGTACCTGGAGTGCTATATATAAATGAGATCTGACAAGTTACACCTTTAGCGCATTTCAAGAATAACTTCTCCAATATATAAATAAATTGAGTCTTTCCTTGCTCATGAGGTGTGTGTGTGTGTGTGTGTGTGTGTGAGAGAGAGAGAGAGAGATCCAAAGTAAGGGTTGTAAATGACCACATTGACTCTGAGGGAATTAGTGGAGTGATTCACATTCCCTCCTTAATTTTCCCTTGCAGAAGGCTTTGTCATAAGCAAGCTCTAAGCAATTGTGGTAGAATCTCCATGAAAAGCCTTATGGCTCATCAAACATTGAATAGAAATATTCCCATGTTGTCCTATGTGTCCAGTTAAAACAACTGGTCATTTGAATTGTGGATGCGCATTGCCCGTTGTCCCAGTGGTGTTTTGGAACCATGACCAGAAATCAGAGCTGTAACAAAAAATGTTTCTTAGATCGCCCAAACTAGGTATTGGACAAAACTGATCAGGTGGGTGTGATAGACAAAAAAGGGGATAGGTGTCAGTTTGGAAGAATAAGATAAGTCAAAAGAACATCTTATTTTCTATAAATGATGTTTTTATTAAAGATCCACCAAGATATTTCAAACAGTGAAAAATTAGTGGTGCTCACAGACTATTTTTGCACCATTTGCTAGCAGTAGAAGTGGTTGAATCTGAGGAACTAGTTCTTTGCAACTACTATTCCACTCACTTCTAGAAAACACTAAGGATATGTTTACACTACAGCACTAATTCGAACTAACTTAGTTCGAATTAGTTAATTCAAACTAAGCTAATTCAAACTAACGGATCCAGACTAAAAAACTAGTTCAAAATAGCGTTTTCCTAATTCGAACTAGCATGTCCACATTAAGTGGACCCTGAACTGGGGTTAAGGATGGCCGGAAGCAGTGCCGGCAGGGCATCAGATGAGGACTTAGAGCGTGGAGCTGCTGCCTCAGGCTAGCCGAGGGCTGTGCTTAAAGGGACCCAACCCCCCCACTCCAGACAGACAGTTCTTAGGGGTGCCCCGCTTGTAAAGCAGTCCTGGCTTGGAGTGCCCTGAGTGCCCACACTGGGCACATCACAGCACTCGGCCAGCAGACCAGCTGCACTTGCCGCAGGCTGCCATCTGGGGAGAGGAGGTAATTGGGGGGCTGCAGGAGAGCTTCCACCCCCAGAAGCCCGCAGAGCCAGCCCAGTCCTCCCCATCGGGGGCTGGTACCCCATTCCTCCCTCACCTCCTTCCACTTACCCTTCCCTAACCCCCCTTCCTGATGTACAAAATAAAGAAAACCTGTGGTCAAAAATAGAATCTCTCTTTATTGAACAAAACTCGGGGAGACTGGGAAAAGGAGGTGGGAGAGGGGAAGAGAGAGGGTAGAAGAGGGGAGACCAACTACAATGATCAGAGGTTTGGAACTGGTCCCATATGAAGAGAGGCTAAAGAGACTGGGACTTTTCAGTTTAGAAAAGGATAGGATAGAGGTCTATAAAAGCATGAGTGGGGTGGAGAGGGTGCATCAAGAAAAGTTCTTCATTAGTTCCCATAATAGAAGGACTAGAGGACACCAAAGGAAAGGAATGGGTAGCAGGCTTCAAACTAGTAACAGAAAGTTCTTCTTCACAAAGCAAAGAGTCAACCTGTGGAACTCCTTGCAGCAGGAGGCTGTGAAGGCTAGAACTAGAACAGAGTTTAAAGAGAAGTGAGATAAAGTGATGAAGGTTGGGTCCATGGAGTGCTATTAGCCAGGGGGTAGGAGTGGTGTCCCTGCCCAAAGTTTGTGGAAGGCTGGAGAGAGATGGCACGAGACAAATGGCTTGGTCACTGTCTTCGGTCCATCCCCTCTAGG